TATATGTGTGTGTGTGTGTGCGCGCGCAGGTATTATCCGCCTAAGTTACATGCCGTTGGTAACGTGCTACTGCTGTTTCTGTTACTATCATTTCTCAACCCTTTAGCAAAATGTATATAATTATTGTTTCTATGAGATAAAACAAACGATTAGATTGAAATAAATAATTATTAAATTGATAGAGAGAAAATAATCTTCGTTAAGATTTCAATTGATGATGTCACACATTTGAGAATTATTACCCTTTATTAAATTGAATTTTTTTTTATTATTCAATTCAATGAAATGACATGGTATGGAATGATACTGTYGCTACTACCTACAACCACCACCACCACCACCACCATCACCAACCCTGGCACCATGACGAATTACGTAAACTGAAAGCAATGATTATTTCAATAGAACTAAACTCTGTAATTAAGTTGTTCCAAACAATTGTATCTCTACCACGACTGACTTTATCGTACTAAGGCCGCAAAATTGATAAGTACAGGTTCGAAACTTTAGCGTAGGATTCTAAGTTCCTTAGATTCTTAGTATCGATTTGCATACTCGCGTAAAGTCTAATATCTATTATGAAACGTCATAAAAGCTACTTTCCTAGTAGTTGCAAATACGAATAACCAACCGTATATACAGTGTTTCAATCGTTGTTTGTGTCAGAGACAATGCAAAACCTACATTGAAATCTTTCGATTTTTACATCTACGTTTTTTCTTTATTCTTCTTCTTCTTCTTCTTCTTCTTTTTCTTCTTTGAATTATTTCAAGACATTATGTTGGAAATCATTTTTTTAAACGATAATTCATATTTTGCATAAACTTTAAAGAACGTTAAAGAAACACCATGATAAATGTTATAAATAATTCCTGACCTATACCAACCAACCCACGAAGAATATTACAAACCTAACGTCATGAAAAAAAAAACCGATCGAAATCTGAAACAATAAAAATAAATGGTGTCAAACGACGTTGAATTTCCTTTCGATTTTTTTTTTTATTTAATATTTTATTATTTAATTAAACAACATTTATTGAATTTTATTGGAGAAAACAAATTGATATCAACAAAAAAAAAAAAAATATGATTTAACCATACAATATATAAATCAAATGTGTCAGGTGACAGAAAAGACAAAAACCCCGTACCATGATAAATGTTATAAATAAACATTAATCTATCCATAGACAAATATCGATCAGTTTGAAACAAAAGTAATCGAAATCTGGATCGGTTTGTTGAAAAAGATAGAAAAAAAAGAGAGATAGAGAAAGAAAAAGAGATTCAAAGGTTCTTTTGGGACGAATGTAACGTTGAAATGTAGATGTTAATAGCCCAGGGCAAGGGCGTGGGGTGGTTTCATCCCCGGGTCGGTTGGGTGGTCGTAAGGGGTGGTTCTGGGTATTTGGTAGGGGACATACTTCTATTTTCCTCTCTCTCTCTCTCTCTCTCTCTCTCTCTCTCTCTCTTTCTGAGGGGCATGCAATAGCACGAAGAGTGCTAGTGCACCTGACCTATATAGTATCCGAGCAAGTTATTGATTGACCTAATTCCCCGAAGCCGCTTGCCTCCGCACCCGCACAAAGACAAAGGCCGCGGCAAAGGCCGAAATTATGTAAGCTAACCCAGTGACTTACTGAGCTCAAGAGAAAGAGAAAGAGAAAGAGAAAGAGAGAGAGAGAGAATCTTCTTTAGAGTTAAGTCGAACCACGACTTTCACTTCAAACTTTTATTAACATCATTGATCGACAAACATAGATAAGAAATAAAAGAGAAAGATAAAAAAGAATGAAAAAAAAAGAAAATGGATTAAAATATTAGAAATTTTTAGAACAAAAAATCTTCTCTTTATATTTAACCCTTATTGTTCGTCACGTCTTTTTAATATCGATGATTTTTATTAATTAGTTTTAGTAAATATGCACAACTGAATGGTTCACTATTATAAGAATAATTTATTATTTATTTTTTGTTTTGATGTAGTACACAAATATATATATATGAGATTATTAATTAATTATTAATTAATTATAAATAAAATATTTTTATTTGTAAGTCACAAACCACGTAAGTTTACGACTGATAAGGGTTAAATCAAATATCTCATATCTTCGATTTACAAAAAAAGAAAAAGAAGATTGGTCCTATTACAATAATCGATAAAAGGTAAATGAATTTTTCTAATATAACAATTTGTGTACATTAATTATTAACAAAATAATATAATAATTATTTCAATTAAAATTGATATGAAAAAAATAAATACACTGGAGATTCGAATCAAAACAATGGGAACCACCATCGGTATTTCACACACATATATATATATATATATATATATATATATATATATATATATATATATATATATATATATATATATATATATATATATATATATATACTATATATGTTTAAGGAAATGAAAGAAGGTCGAAGGTTTAAAAGGCAAGAAACAATATGCAAATATATATTGCAGTAAGTCTCTGTCGTCATCGGTACATACATAACCCGTAGAAATTCGAAAGGCATCCGATTTCTACTGTTACTCTTTCTCTTTCTGTTGTCTTTCTTTCGTCCTCTCAGTGCCGCTGACCTTCTCATTCGCGTGGGGCAGGTCGCGTTAAGGTAGGATCAGGTGGCAACACACAAGCCGTTCGTTTGGTTCTCTCAGCTGCCAGCAGCAACAACAGCAGTCTTCTTCTTCTTCTTCTTCTTCTCTTCTTCCAATTTAACATCAGCCACCTCGAAATCGTGCTCGGTTCGAGGTGCTCGCTTGAACTCAACTGAGGTGAGAGAAAGAGAAAAAGAGAAAGAGAAAGAGAGTATCGAACCAAGCAACTTTGCCAACCTTGGATACCCTTGCAAAAGAAAAGGATCCTCGAAGCTCGTTCGAACGAGACGCCCACAAAACGAATAAAAAAAATCTTGGGACAGGTCATTGGCATCGAAACGGCCAACATCGAACACGCGGGGCCCCCAGGTTCTATTGGCTTTTTTTTTTTTTGTTTTTTTTTTTTGTAAGAAGAATAAGGAGACGACGAACTCTAACTTAGAGAGACGAACCAACGAACGAACGAACGAACGAACGAACGAACGAACGAACGAACTAAGGGAACAAGGGGATTAGTTCTGCGGAACCCGCAAAGCGAAACTTGAGAACTATATAGGACCTCATGAAAATAATAATAATAATAATAATGAAACAGTTCTAAGGTGTTCTGCAACCATGCTTCGGTTGAAAGATTGGAATCTTTGACACATTGATAGAATTCAATGATACACTTAATGTGTCATAGAAAGTTTTGTCAACAAATTCAATGAATCATCTAATTTCTATCCTAAGAAAACCTTATTTTGACTTTGTGGTATTGTAACTTGGACATTTTTACTTCAGGGGGTGTTCATATTTTATCATTTTTATTATATATATATATATATTTATATATGTAAATGACAAATGATTTTTTAAAGAAAATTCTTCAATCTATTATGAATTTTAATTACAAACATTTATTGATTACTTTCATTGTAATCAAATAATTGAAAGATAAACTTTTATCGATCGATTTTTTAATCGATTTATTGTTTTGTTGTTTGATCTCTTTTGTTACATCTTATCATTTATTGGATTATTTATTGACACTTTTTTTTTAATTAAAATATATATAAAGAAATGAAACAAATAGAATACAATAATTGTACAAAAAAAAAAAATAAAAAACAAACGCGTATTTGATATTTTTGTGTTAAAAATATTAAATAGAACGTCGTAAACTTTTATCAGAAATTTTTCAAATAATTCAATAATTCAACAACAACACTCGTATCATAAAATTTTCAAAGAACAAAGAAAATTATATCCTAGGTGAGAAAAAAAAACATTTCCAACAAAAAAAAAACAAATTAAAAACAACATTGAAAATCATAAAAAACAAATTCAATGATTGTTAAATTACTATGAACCATAATAATAATAATAATAATTAAAAATGCAAAAGTAATTGAGCAAAAAAAAAAAATAAAAGCAAAAAAAAAAAAAGAAAGAGAATGCACTTTGGAAGGGAGACGAGTAATTTTGCTAAAATTTGGCAAAGTAAATCGACGAAAGGGTGGAACAGTGGAAGGGTAAGGGGATAGAAGAAGAGACAAGGTATATACAAAGCCAAGGGACAGGTGTCCGGCGAGAATAGGGAACCGAAGGGTGTGTTCACGGTCGAACGAGCGACAGACTTTCCTCCCCTTTCCCTTTCCCTTTCCCACTCATTCCTTCCCTTAGCAAGGAGACCTCGGATGCGATATACCTTTTTCAAAGCATCGAATACCTTGGTCGGTGTGCACCCAGCCATCCCACGTGTGCGAGCTTAGACGGATGCGGGAGGGAGCTAAAAACACGAGACGACCTTCCGAAAATTCAAACCGAACCAAACCCGTCTTTCTCTCTGTTAGGTTCTTAGCCCTTTTTGTTTTTTTTTTCTTCTTTTTCTTCTTCCTTCTCCCTTACATGACGCATCCTTGTTGCATACACACACACACATACCATACATGCTTGCATATAGACGGTCGAACGCACGTATACGCACAAGCAACGTCATATGATATTTAAAGTACCAAGAAAATTGCAGTTGTTTTTTGTATAACTTTTGTTCACTTGAAAAATATTCATTATTATAACGATTGATCATTATTATTTTCAAGTTACATTGATTTATTATTTAAAAAATATTGTAGTATATGTTAAATAAATAACAATATTATTGACGAATATGAAATATTCATTTATCAATCAAAAATTGTCTACAACACGAAAGTTGTACAAAATTCTTATAAAACTGTCTTGTATTTTATTTAAATAAATAAATTACTATAAGATAATAGTAATAATGATCAAAGAGATAGATCCTTTGATTGAAGAAGCGAAAGATTTGAAAATAGATTAGCAATAGATTAAATTGATCGTGTTTAAAAAGAAAGATGGATGAAAAGTAACTTACCCGATCACGTGCGGTACGTCAATGGAGTGAGACGAAGCACGTTTTCGATCACCAGCCATATCGGCAAGCCTAGCAAAATCAGTATCCTGATCAGCTAACCGAGCACTCTTTCGTGACTCCAATAATCTAACTTCGTCTATGCGTTTTGTCAAACTCGTCGTACCCTGAAACAAATCGTACACAATTATTTAATTAATTCAAATATATATTTATATTTATATTTATTATATATTTGATTCATTTGATATTTTATTTATTCTTTTTTATTGTTGTTGTTGTTGTACATTAATTTTTAAATAATTGTTATATATTTCAATTATCCTTAAAGAATTATTTACGTCACATTTTTATTTCTTTTTTTCTTTTTTTTTCTTATGTGATGCAAGTTTGCAATACGTAACATGATATACATCCTATCAAAATTATTATTTTTATTATTATTATTATTAATGTGTTTATTGTATTGGTGTAAATTTCTATTTGTACGTGTTCGTAATACAATAAATTAATTATTTGTGTGTGTTTTTTTTTTTTTTGGAAAGATTTGATGCGTGTTGTTTTTAGTGTTGACGATGCGTTTCTCCATGCACGTGTGAATTTCCGTTTATGCCCATTTGGTTTGTACGTGTAAGGGTTGGTTGTTCGTAGTGTATTTTGTGTTTCTACGTGTTTGAATTTTTTTTTTTTTTTTGACAGTTCTTTTATTTGTACGTGTATATACGTGCACGTATATTGTGTGTATTTGATGTGTACGTTTTTATTGTCTGCCTACTTGACGAAAGAAGATGAAAGGGAAAGACAGACAGACAGACAGACAGAGAGAGAGAGAGAGAGAGAGAGAGAGGGATAGATAGTTGGGAAGTTTGAAAAGAGAAGGGACAGTTGAGTAATGGTACATGTTGCTAAGTCTTTTAAGTGACACCGTATGATTCACGATCAGCCTTGTTACAGTACAAGATAAACCGTAATCCACGAATTCCTCTTCCTCTGTCATCCTTTCTTACGAACATCTTTATTTAACGATCTCAACATCTACAGATTTCATCCCATTACGGGGAGGAGGAGGAGGGGGGAGGGGGAATACAATGTTTTTCTCTTCTTTCTGTTTTTTTTTTTTTTTTTTCGAAAAATTACACATCGTAACATTAAAAACCAAAATTTTGGTCCATGTCTGAAATGCTTTCAACTCAACAAGAAAAAAAAAGAAAAAAAAAAAAACTTCGTGATTTGTAATACTTTTGTTCTCATTTCTACTTCTACTTCTACTTCTACTTCTTCTTCGTCTTTTTCTTCTTCTTGTTTTATGAATTTTTTTTTGTTTATCCTAAAATACATTTTATCAAATTTTCCATCACATTCAAGAAATAGAAAATAATATTCCAAATATTTTGTTCAAATTTTGTAAGACGATAGATTTTGCTTTTCCTGTTCTATATGATTATGGTATATATGGTTATAGGGGGCCACTATTCAATAATTTTTGTAGATATTTGTAATTTAAAGATGCTAAAGATGCTAAAAACAAATAATATTTATATAATATTCACAAATAATATTCATACAACATTGATAAATATTATTTTTCAATGTTACATTTATATTATTTTTCAATTTGATAATTAAGAATTGAAAAAATGAATTTATCGATTAAACGATAAATCTATATTTATCTTCTTTAATTGCAAATATCTAAAAAAAAAAATTATTGAATAGTTACCACCCCCTATAATCATAAATATTCATAAAAAGGGAAACAAAATCTATCATTCTACAAAATTTGAACAAAATCCGTGAAGGACTCTCCTTGTTAAGATCACTTTCATAATTATAGGCACGCACACTTATCGAACCCTTTTCTAAAAATGAACGATAAGAAAATGAAATTAAAAACAAAGAGTTAAATTTATATATATTTGCAAAGAATAAAAAAACAAAAAAAAAAACAAGAAAAATCAATCGATCAATCGAATGATCGTAACGATGATTTAGAAAAAAGGGCGTGTGTTTCTCGTCAATAGCAAAAGGATGTAGCCCTTATGCTTGTATTCCTAATAAGTTTTAATAAAACAAAGAAAAATACAAAGAGAAAGAAAGAAAGAAAGAAAGAAAGAAAGAAAGAGAGTGAGTGAGAGAGAGAGAGAGAGAGAGAGAGAGTGTAAGAGAAAGAGTTAACCAACAAAGAAAAATAAAGAAAGTACAAGTCACGTCAGTATAACACACACACACTCACATACATACACATACAAATACAAACACACATTTACACATACAAATAAATCACATGATGCGAATATAATGACGAAGATGCTTCGTTCTATAGTTTTCTTTCGTTTCACCGTTCTCCAAGAGACTCACGCGCGTAATACTTGATAAAAAGAGAGAGAAAGAGAGAAAGAGAGAAAGAGAGAAAGAGAGAGAGAGAGAGAGGATTACGAGGGGGGAATAAAGAGAAGAAGAAGAAGAAGGAGAGTAGATAGAGGGAGGGTGGGAGTTAGGGGGATACAATATGAGATTTCTTTCCATCATAAGAAATGTTGTCTACGTGATACTTTCGTTCATCGTTTTGTTTTTTTCTTTTTTTTTTTTTTACATTCCTTCGGGAAAGTTTCAAAGAGAAACAAAGAGAAATAAAATGGGAAGTGAGATGGGGGGAGGTAGGGAGGGACAGTGCAGGGGTTATAAGAGAAGTTGAATGATGTAAAATAAAAAAAAAAATAAAAACCAAATAAAAAAGGAGGAAGAGAATAAAAAAAAAAAAAAAAAACCGTGAATACTCCAATCGATTAACGATTAACATGCACGACCTTCCTAGATAACAATTTCTTTCGGCCGATATCATCTCTTCTCTTGTTGGTTAGTTCAACGATTCGAAAGAGAATCGACATTTTCTCTGTGTTATGTGAAAAACATAAGAGAGAAAGAGAGAGAGAGAGTGAGAGTGAGAGTGAGAGAGAGAGTGAGGGTTTTCTACTCTTCGAAAGACTTGACGTAAGGTCTTTTCTTTCTCTCCCTTTCTCTCTCTCTCTCTCTCTCTCTCTCTGTCTTTTGGAGTATTTCAACGTTGAAGAAGAACTCGAAAGGGAGTGCTACGTATCTTTTTTCCGGCTGAACTGAGTTAAAGAAGGTAGGGTTCTTAAAGCGAGAAAATAGGCGTCTAGTTTTAAAGGGCACAGTAGAGAAAACAAAATGAAAGAAGGAAAGAGAAGAAGTAGAAGAAGTAGAAGAAGTAGAAGAAGAAGAATACTGTTTTCAAAAGGTTAAAGGGTATTTTATCTGAATATTTTGAAAATACAATTTAAAAACTAATCGTGAAACAACGATACGAATAATTGTATGACTAAACAAAAGGAATTAGAAGAAGAACTGATATTGTAAATCAAGTTTGAAGATATACACATTCAAATATATAGATTTAAAGAAGAAGAAGAAGAAGAAGAAGAAGAAGAAGAAGAAGAATAAAAAAAAAAAAGTAAAAGGGGGATTGGTCACGTAGTGCGCAATCCATTGGCTGGTTTTGCTACCGTTCGATTTGTGGGCTGCATTAGTGAACACTTTCACCTTAGAAGTACTTTCAAATTTCTACTATCCCGCTATATTATTTTTCTCTCTCTCTCTCTCTCTCTCTCTCACTCACTCTTTCTTTAGTTATAGTATATCATTTTGCTATCTCTCTTTCTCTTCGTATTAATCTTTATTACTTTTTCATTTGTCTTTCTTTGTTTTCCTTCATTCTCTCTCTGTTACTCTTTTGCAACGGGTGCTCGTCTCCATCTTTTACGCCTATTCCTGGTCGATGCTCGACGACGATAAATTCCCCACCCCCTCTAAACCCCCCATTCTGTCTTTCTCTCTCTTTCTCTTTCTTTCTTTCTGTCTTTCTACTTCTACTTCTACTTCTTCTTATTCTTATTCTTATTCTTCTTTCGCAGTCTGCACTAGTGGAACGAGAAGGAGAGTCGTTGACCTTACTAGTTTCTCGGTTAATCTCCGCCCGGTGTCGAAGAACCCTCGTGATTTCACCGGATCGGATCCTTCGTGTACCTGCATCGATAGAAAATCAAAGAAATAAAAGAAGAATAAAAAGAACAAGTAGAAGAAGAAGAAGAAGAAGAAAGAAGAAGAAGATGAAGAAGAAGTAGAAGATGATGCAAAAATAGATGTAGAAGTAGAAGGTTGTTGTTGGTTGGTTGGTTGGTTGGTTGGTTGGTTGGTTGGTCGTTGCACATCGAATCACCCATATCGCCCTTTTACTCGTTACATGACGTTTCTAAATAATATGTATAATGATATTGCAATAACTATAAGATGAGATAGAGAGAGAAAGATAGATAGATGAATAGATAGATAAGTATAACTTACATAAGATGCCGGGACTGAAACCGGTGTCTTTTAATGACATCATCGACTTGCTCGATTCTAGATTCAGTTAGTATACTTGAGATCAAGTCAAGGCGAGAATTAATAGTCATAATAAAAGAGTAAGAAAGAGAGAGAGAGAGAGAGAGAGAAAGAGAATAATAATATCAACAACAACAAGAACAAATAAATCAAAAACATATTGGTATTGGGATCTCTAGTAGGGACCCACCACCACCACTTGGTACTTGTCCACACTTAATCACATGTTCAATATTTAATACACTTTCACCAGTAACAAAATTTTATTATTGCTTGGTTTTATGCAAGCAAAATGAAAAATTTCTAGCAATGTTAGTTTCATTTTATTTAATTTAATTACAAAAATAAGAATAGTATAAATAATAAATAAATAAAATATAAATAATAATGTTATACACGTTGTTCTCGATGTTGGTTATACAAGTAATGCACAGCATCATCCAGTCTCTAGTTCATATTTTTGCCGCTAGGATAAGCCACGCCCCTGTCAGAGATCCCAAAAGAGAAATAAAAAGTAATAATAAAAAAGAAATAAAGGATCGTCTGGTCGTGTGTCTTTTTAATCCATTTTATTTTGCAATTAGAGATAATAAATTATTTTATATTTCATATTTTTTTTTTTCATTTTTCACCTTTTCAAGGACGACAGTTTTTTTTCTTCTTATTTGTTTGTTTGTTTTTTTTTCAAATGACAATTAAATGATCTTACCTTCTTATTTGACTTTATACCTTTTCTTTTTTTTTTTTTTATGTTGGATTCTGTTTT